AAAAAAATAGTAATACATTTTATGACGTTGATATTGTTTCCATATTATTTCCATAGTTTCCATAGTATTTTATAGTTGCAATATAGAAAGAAATATATTTGTTTTGTACATGGCTAAGCACGATCTACAAGAACCGAATAGAAGGACTGTGCACTTATCAATTCAACTAAAATGCTGACTAAATGATGCTTCAAAGCCAGTTGTCTGGTCAAAGCTTCAATGTATCTGTCCATCTATCGTGCAAGTGACAACGGAAGTGGAATTTTCGAGACTGCAAATTGGATTTCGGCGAGCCTAGGTTAAGGGCCAAGTTTAGACGCAGGCATTGGAGAAGATAAACAATTTCAATGAGAGGGAGCTTGATTGCAATTACTGAAACAGACAATGTATGAAACTATCGATAAACGACGAGCGTTGAAAGACCCAGGACGAAAGAAGGAAGGACTTGAAATAGGGCCAGACCATTGGTAAATGAGGGAGACAGCTTAAAGTCGTAATTGTTTTTGTAGTTAGACTAGCCATGCGGACACGATCATCAAATTAACTTCAAGCTTGTCCTTTTCAAAACATAACATATACCGCGTCAATAGTATTGAAAAATGTTCACTTAAAAATTAAATAGAAGTCTCAAGTCAACAAACAAACAGAAAACTTGGAAGGTATTCCAAAAGCCAGGATCGTATATCTTGGTATTGATTAGAATTTTATAAAAGTTCTTATTTAGTTTCATATTCCTTGCTCACCTCAAAGTAAAATTGGCTTAAGTAAGTTTTACATTAATTAAAGCCCTTTGCTCGGCCTTCTGCCTCTCTGATCGCAAAGTAATTGATGCCGGAAATTGTTGCAACTATGTTTTGAAAGCGTGCCACGAAGAAGGCGAAAACTTCTTACTAATAGCCCCAATCCGCCCTCTTTGTGTTCGTGTCGTACAAAGTAAGCGACGTAAATTAATAAAGAACTCGAGCGAGTGCCAAATGCCCCGAAAACCGCAGTGTGGTACCCAAAAGGTTGTTGCAGCCTTTGTTGTCGTCTGTCAAGGCGCCATCATCAGTCAACGTTGCCCGCAAGAGAGAAAGTAAAATGAAATATAGCAGGTATAGACGGAATACTGATTAAAGAAAACTCGATGTTTTTAAAAGCATTTTCGAATTTATTGGTGTTTTTGTCTATTATTACATTTAGCAGCTTGGAGAAATTCTTATGCAAAAACGATAAGTCGAAACCGAGGGGAACATGCGTGGGGAAATCGACTACACAATTTTATTTGCAGCTAATAGCTTACTCAGCTAAACTATTTATGAATAAATATGCCTAAGCTAATGGCTAGCTAACTAACTATTTTGGCGGGACAGACATTTGGGTTTTAAATACGTCATTAGCGGAACTCTAGTGTCGATCTAAATATTGAATGTCATTCATGATTTCTAAAAACTATTAAATCGATTTAAATTTCGACAATAATTATAAAAATTTTCTTAAATTACAAGAACAATCTCTTAAAAAAGGTTTTTTAAGGTTGACAGTAAGTCCCTGTTTCTTTTGCAATTGACCTTACAAAACAGAAAAATGGCTTTTTATTTAGGAAAAATTACAATAAATTTGGGAAAAATTCCTATTAGTTTAAGACTAATTTGACCTACATATTGGGAGATTAGGTTTTTTGATTAAAATTTTTATAGGTACAAATTTTTAGTGGTTTTTTAGGACATGCATCGCATAAAAAGTAATCCTCTACACAAGAGCTTGCAACGTAGTGAAAAGGATATTTTCGACCCTGCACAGAAACAAACTTATTAGTCAAATCAAACAATTTACAGCTCAAATGCTTAAATCTACAATTTTTGATTGAATTTACCGAATGGTAACTACAATTACATTTTTACAGCAATTTCAATCCAAATTTAAAGTTAAACCTCTTAACCCATGAAAAGGAAAACTTTTTACCAAAACTTCCAGTAAGGAAATATACCTCCAAATTTAGAAATTATGGATTTTCAATACAATTGTTAAAGTTACTTACAGTTAGTTAGAATAAGTAAATAATTAAAATACATAGATAAGATTCTAATATTATTTAAAATGTTTGTAGTTTCTTTAACAGACAACATAATTGGTAGAATTAGAATATATAAGTTTTTAAGTTTTTTATTTCAAAATGTATTACACCGGTAACGGGACAATACACAAATATGACAAAAAGTACTGACTATTACTACGATTAACCTACCAGATATCTGCTTTATAAGAAAATAAGATTTTTTCATATGCTCAGTTGCGAGAATCTTACCCATCATTTAATTGTCCTTGCTTACTGATTAACTGCTTATGCAATCTGGAACAAGTCACGCGGAGCAGAGGTCTCTAAAAGTGCGAGGCGATTGTTTTTGGTCGTTAGTGCTGTGGGAGGTTCCCAAACATTGTAAAGGTTGCTAATGGCCGAGCGATCAGGAAATCTCGAAACCGGGCCCGTATTGAAAATTTGCATATAAATTGTAAGGGCAGCAGCGACACAATGGACAGACTTTCTCAAAAAAAACGATAGCTGCAGATAGCGACCCACCATGTAATTGAGTAATTAGCAGTGGCGAAACAATTGTAAACGAAACCGCCAATAAGCGCACCTCATCCCACTGCAAACATATCTTGGTGTATGGGATCCGATCAGCATTATATTCTGTCCTAAGTAAAGAGAGGCGCGTTTCGAACATTTGCATCGCGATCCGATCCAATTTCAGTTATTCATTTTTTAAAGGACCTTGGGTAGCACATAACTTATAGGTGCAGCAACGCGATGTGAATGTTAAATAACACAATGTGCTAACCAAATAACCTATCCTCATATCATTATGTTTATCAGTACTAATAATTACAAAAGAGTCTCAAAAACTCAATTGTTTTTCTGGAATCATAAAGTTTTTAAAAAGATTGTGCATGAATTTTGTTCTTCAATCCGTGTCGTGAATTTTTTCTCAGAATTTTATTTAGACCTACAAAAATACTAAACTTAAATATATTATTTACATAGTTTTTGATGTATAGTCGTCCGATTTTTAAAGCTATGCAAAGGGTAATTTAGTCATAAGTTTGCACCGCATTGAAGGAGACATTTCTCACTTTATAAGTACAATACTTAGTATTGAAATCTATAAGCATGCGTTCCGATATAATAAAATAAATTACAAATTGTTTTCAAAAATTTAGTTTAAGAAATTTGACATTTCAACTCGAGATATGTATTTGTTTTATAATTATGTTTTTAATTTAAATAAAATCGAACAACAAATAGCTATTATTACAGAAGTGCTTCGAGAATTGGAATAAATGCATTACTTTAAGGGGGTATAGTTAATTCGGTGCAAAATCGGTAATTTTTTAAGATTTTGTATTGGAGATAAGGATAGTCTCAGTCCAATTATGGTTTTTACATTTGATAGGAAAACATTTAAACAACATGTGTGTTTTCATTTAAAAATATTAAAAATTGAGTGAGATACAGGAAATCTCCGGCGGCGTCTCGAAGAAAACACGTTTTGCGGTGTACAACATAACTAGTCACAGAATCAATTGAAATGAAAAAATCAAATTGGATTAGTTAAATGACAAAATTCCTCAGGTAACGCTGTCGAGTTTTTTTTTCGATTTTTTAAGGCACTTGAAAGTCAAAAACCCTGATTTTCGCCCAAAACGTCGAGATATTTGTTGCTATAAAAATAAAAAATTAAAAAAAAAACTCGAGAGCGTTACCTGAGAAGTTTAGTAGAGAAATACTATGCAAAATTTCAAAACAATCAGTCCGATAGATTTTGCAGGATCGTGTACACCGACTTTGAAAATGGCAACTTTTCAGGATATCGTTTTAAAGTTTGGGGCACCCAAAAATTGAATATAAAACGAGCTAATTACCTACTTTAAACTGCCCATAACTTCGGAAGTTTTACTCGGATCGATCTAAAATTTCAACACAATATTCTCAAGATGTTGTGCATTCAGAAAAAAATTGAAATTACCACCCCCCTTAATAAAAACGAATATTGAGGAATAAACAAATACTTTTCCAACAAGAAAGTAAGCCAACTTCGACAAGCCGAAGTTTATATACCCTTGCAGTAATTGCAAAACGACTACATTTCGATTTCTATGCCTATATTATTAAAAACAATGAAGCTATGTCGATTTTCTATAGCTATATGATATTTTTGCTACTAATTTTAATATAATAAATAATTACTATATCTAACAAAGGAAAAATTATTTTTCCTAAAGGAGAAAAGAGTCGATAATTTAATTAAAACCAATTTAGTATTTAAATCCTTTTATATTGTTTTTAATTTCTCGATTTTCCTATAGGAGATTTATGATACAGATGTCCGATTTTAATTTAATTAAAACCGTAACAATTAATGCTAAACAATTAATGCTTTATTACGAAAATAGTTAATAGTGCTATTTTTGTAACTTATAAATATAATGATAAATGTTCCCAAGTTCCTACTAATGTAGTAAGAAAAACTATCTATGGAATAGTGCGATTTTCTTGCCAATAAGTGTATGTTTTTCACGACAAAAAAAACAATCACAACTCCAATCTGAACTTGACCCTCACAAATACATTATTCCAGCAACAACAGAGCTTGTGCTGCATTCTTGTTGGAATTGCTGCAGCATCGACAACCGCTCTCACTCTCTCGAGTGTTGCGCCACAACAGCACCGTCCGTGCTGTTAGTAGTGCCCTCTCGCTCCGCGCCTCTCTCTTAGTCTGTACACGTCGCTCGATCGCATTCGTCATTTTTCCTGCGTTGCGCGTGTCTGAATATCGGGAAACAAATAAGTGAAACAAAAGCGAAACTTTTTTTGTGAATTAAACCAGCCAGTGTTCCATGTGACACAGTTATTTTAAACGCCTTTCGCCCCTGTCAGCTTCCGCGTGAGTTACAAGAAATCGGCGACTGCCCTCGCCCGCTGTTAGTATCTGCGTCCCTCTCCCGCTTTTGTGGGAATTGTTTGTGCCGCTGTTGTTGTGCCGTGATTGTCGCCTGTTTTTATTTTATCTGCCGCCTTCTTCCACCTGTCCCCGCATCGCAATTAAATCAATTCATTTGCCTAACAACCTGGCCCGATAACTGCTTGTTTAGTCGTATTCCGAACTTCCGACGCAGCGATCAGAAAGAACCTCCGTGCGATCTCAGATCTTCGGTTCCAGTGAATGTGTTCAGTGCGAAAACATCGAATCTGAAGCCCTCAATTGGGTCCGCAGTTATTTCAGCGAAGTAACAAAGCATTCAGACCCACTGTCTTGGCCACGTTATCGATTTTCTAACAATCTGGAGAAACTTGTCCATAATTCTTAAGAATTCTTCGTCAAACGTAGTTGCACATACATATGCCTTCCTCTGCAATTGGAATTTCGCCCATCATGACGCACAGTGGACACTGGCTAACACGAACAATTTGTTATAAAACTTAATCTTAAAATAGTTAATCTGCTTGAAAAATTTTGTACGTTCGAAGTTTGTTTTGTAGCTATTGAAAAAAAGCCAAAAAAACGAAAGCCAGAGGTCTTTTTTTAATATAGGGAATTCCTATGTTCCTGCAAACAATTACTAAAGTTAAACTTATTTGTAAAAAAAAAACAATTTCTCTGTTGTATTTTTATATAACAAAAGTTTTTTTAGTTTGTTCTTAGTCTCGCCTAGTGATGTGTTACTCTGCCCAAGATTTAAACATACATAATTGAAAACAAAGAATAATAAAAAATGAAATATTAAATAATATTATTATTTTTTCGAAGCAAAGCGCTAAAAGACACGACAAAGCTAGTGTTAACCAATATTCACTGTTTAGTATTAGTATCTGCCTTGAATCTGATTTCCCTATATTTGCCAAAATAAACAAAGTGGAATTGGTCTTTGAGTGCTGTCAATAACTTAAGAATCATCAAATTCCTTATCCAATTCGTCAAGTGTTAGCTTTATAGATGTCGATTCCTGGACTTAAGAATCCCACTGGGTGACAGAATTGGGCGATCTTACAAGCTGTAATCCCGAAGCCTCTCGTACCATGTGGGGAGAGATATTTGCGGGAGGCAGACTATAATATTCATGCTCTCATCTCGTGCGTGACCGAACAAATAAATTAAGCACTTTCCCAGGCCCAGAATAGATTGGCGTGCACCCTGAATGTGGAGTCGCGAGAGGTTCGGAAGGTATTTACTCTCGCGCTAATGATAAGAATTCGTCACATCGTCATCGTTTCTGTACCACCGAAATGATAGTCATCAATGCCTCTGATGTAAGTTGTCCCCACTAACTTGTAAACTTATACCCACAAATATACCTTTGTGTATGTATATGGTTTGGGTTTGAGGTTGTGGTTATTTCTAAGTGTTTTTAATGTTCACCGATTGTCGTTTGTATGTCCACAGAAAGTTCTGTTAATACTTATGAGTTCCTTTCCTTCCAGAAGCCCTGAAAGATGCTCAGAGCTAGGCGCACCATTAGTATTTTCATTGAGGAACAGGTACAGAGTTATATTCGTGGTGTAGTCTGGGGTAGTTAAAGTTCTGGCTATGCCTTTGCGTTGCTAATCTTAACCGACTTGTTGGAATTTATGGCTCAAGACTTGGTTGCAAATTAGTTGAGTGTGGCTTGTGTAATGAGTAGTCCCCCTTCCATTAGATGGAGTCTATCCGGTTTTCCGGGAAGGGACAGTCTGGTACTATCGGCTGCCGTCAATTTCACGTTAAACGATTAAATCGTGGGAATCGCTAAAGCAAGATTTTGTGGATGTACCAGCTTCCCCCACTCACTTTTTCCAACTTCATTTTTAATTGTACTCCCGCGAGCCATCGCTGTCAAGTGCACAACTCTACTTTACAAAGCCCTAACAATTTGCTGTTTTAAGAAGCGACAGCTGTGTTCAACATTTGAATACACAAACCCATAAAAAAGAGAATATTACCGCCTGACGATGTGGTAAGAATAGTATAATCAGTCACAAACAGGAAAGCCAAGACAACCTAATCTTATCCAAAAAAAAAAAAAAAGGCTTCCACAGCTTGGGTCTTCAGATGTGAAAATCGATCAATGTATTAAAAGTAAAGAGAACTTCTCCTAGGAATGGCAGTTTGGAATCTTTTCTTGGCCAGGAAAATATATTATTTTATGTAGTAATTGGGCAAATTATTTTACGTGTTCTTTAGCTCGGTTATTTTCCTAGGATCGGTCTTTAGCCAATAGAATGACTCCGATGATTGTGATTCCTTCTTCCCAAATACGATTGACAGATTGGTTCGTGGCTATAGATACAAATTCAAGAGATACCACATATACAATGATTGAAATTGGACAAAGCTAACAGTCCACCGGTGAATCGATTTTATATTGATTTTATTAGCTTGGAAAACGCTAATTTTTATACCCGTTACTCGTAGAGTAAAAGGGTATATTGTATTCGTGCAAAAGTATGTAACAGCTAGAAGGAAGCGTTTCCGACCCTATAAAGTATATATATTCTTGATCAGGGTCACTAGCCGAGTCGATATAGCCATGTCCGTCTGTCCGTCTGTCCGTCTGTCTGTCCGTCTGTCCGTCTGTCTGTCTGTCTGTCCGTATGAACGCTGAGATCTCGGAAACTATAAAAGCTAGAAGATTGGCATTTGCATGCAGATTCTAGGAGTTCCTACGCAGCGCAAGTTTGTTTCAAAAGGCCCGCCCCTTTAACGCCCACAATCGCTTATATACGATTTTAAAATTTAAATATTTCGGAAAAGTAAAAATGCAGTTTTATTGTGTTTATCAATACCTGTCGAAATGTAGAAGAAATTTTTCAAATCGGACCATTCGTTAAAAAGTTATGCGTGATCAAAGTTTCTATCTCCATCTCCCTCGCACTCCCTTTACCTGAGTAACGGGTATCTGATAGTCGGGGCACCCGACTATAGCGTTCTCTCTTGTTAATGTTATAATTCTAGTAAAATGAGCACTCAATCAAAATCAATTTACCAGAAATCGAAATTAAAAAGGAAATAGGCATAAAAAAATAATGTACACTTGAAACCAAAGGTACCATAAAAACAAGAAAGGAAAGATAACTTCGGGCGGAGCCGAAGTTGATATACCCTTGCAGAATACTCTGTAAATTATATTCTCCAAAATTATTCATATGATGCATTTTTAATACTCATAAAAAATCCCAACTTCCTAACTTTAAAAACACCAAAGTTATGTCATTTCCATTCGTTCAGTAATATGGCAGCTATAGGATATAGTCGGCCGATCCTTATGAAGTTTGGTAGGTCGGATTGATTGGCCAAAAATAAAAACCATAGAAAATCCCAACTTCCTAACTTTACAAACACCAAAGTTATGGCATTTCCGATAAATCAGTTATATGGCAGCTATAGGATATAGTCGGCCGATCCCGGCCGTTCCGACATATATACTGCGTGTAAAGGAAAGAAGGGTGTGTGCAAAGTTTCAATTCGATAGCTTTAAAACTGAGAGACTAGTTTGCGTAGAAACAGACAGACGGACAGACGGACATGGCTATATCAACTCAGGAGGTGATCCTGATCAAGAATATATATACTTTATAGGGTCGGAGATGTCTCCTTCACTTCGTTGCACACTTTTGACCAAAATTATAATACCCTCGGCAAGGGTATAATATGTTGAATGTAACCACGGTGTTCATGTGCCTGAAAACCAAACATTTTTGTTACCTAAATTATTAAAAAACGGGATATTTCTTCTTATAGCTCAAAAAAGTTGGGTGGACTAAAATCGAATTTTTCAACATTGATGAAAATAAATTCTCTAAAATACATGAACTCCGTTTTTATACCCTTGCAGAGGGTATTATAATTTTGGTCAAAAGTGTGCAACGCAGTGAAGGAGACATCTCCGACCCTATAAAGTATATATATTCTTGATCAGGATCACCTCCTGAGTTGATATAGCCATGTCCGTCTGTCTGTCCGTCTGTCTGTTTCTACGCAAACTAGTCTCTCAGTTTTAAAGCTATCGGATTGAAACTTTGCACACACCCTTCTTTCCTTTGCACGCAGTATATAAGTCGGAACGGCCGGGATCGGCCGACTATATCCTATAGCTGCCATATAACTGATTGATCGGAAATGCCATAACTTTCGTGTTTGTAAAGTTAGGAAGTTGGGATTTTCTATGGGTTTTATATTTGGCCAATCAATCCGACCTACCAAATTTCATAACGATAAGATCGGCCGACTATATCCTATAGCCACCATATAACTGTTTGATCGGAAATGCCACAACTTTGGTTTTTGTTAAGTTAGGAAGTTGGGATTTTCTATGGGTTCTATTTTTAACCAATCAATCCAACCTATCAAATTTCATAAGGATCGGCCGACTATATCCTATAGCTGCCATGTAACTGAACGATTGGAAATGCCATAACTTTGGTGTTTTTAAAGTTAGGAAGTTGGGATTTTTTATGAGTATTAAGATTGCATCATATGAATAATTTTGGAGAATATAATTTACAGAATATTCTGCAAGGGTATATCAACTTCGGCTCCGCCCGAAGTTAGCTTTTCTTTCTTGTTTAAAACTAAAAGTTAAGTTAAGTTTCTTAAGTACCCTTTTATGTTTTCCAAAATGTTCGAAGATTCCATATTTTTATACCCTTGCAGAGGGTATTATAATTTTGGTCAAAAGTGTGCAACGCAGTGAAGGAGACATCTCCGACCCTATAAAGTATATATATTCTTGATCAGGATCACCTCCTGAGTTGATATAGCCATGTCCGTCTGTCCGTCTGTCTGTTTCTACGCAAACTAGTCTCTCAGTTTTAAAGCTATCGAGTTCAAACTTTGCACACACCCTTCTTTCCTTTGCACGCAGTTTATATGTCAGAACGGCCCGGATCGGCCGACTATATCCTATAGCTGCCATATAACTGATTGATCGGAAATGCCATAACTTTGGTGTTTGTAAAGTTAGGATGTTGGAATTTTCTATGGGTTTTATCGTTAGCCAATCAATCCGACCTACCAAATTTCATAAGGATCGGACGACTATATCCTATAGCTGCCATATAACTGATTGATCGGAAATGCTATAACTTTGGTGTTTGTAAAGTTAGGAAGTTGGGATTTTCTATGGGTTTTATCGTTAGCCAATCAATCCGACCTACCAAATTTCATAAGGATCGGACGACTATATCCTATAGCTGCCATATAACTGATTGATCGGAAATGCTATAACTTTGGTGTTTGTAAAGTTAGGAAGTTGGGATTTTCTATGGGTTTTATTTTTGGCCAATCAATCCGACCTACCAAACTTCATAAGGATCGGCCAACTATATCCTATAGCTGCCATATAACTGAACGATTGGAAATGCCATAACTTTGGTGTTTTTAAAGTTAGGAAGTTGGGATTTTTTATGAGTATTAAGAATGCATCATATGAATAATTTTGGAGAATATAATTTACAGAGTATTCTGCAAGGGTATATTAACTTCGGCTCCGCCCGAAGTTAGCTTTCCTTTCTTGTTGAAACTAAATGTAGGCAAAAAAATAATTGATGGACAAAAGTGGATTTTTTTTTGCTCACCATTAAGTTTTACGATCAAGGTTTTAAATTTCGATTCTTTGAGCTTTTAAAGAAGCACAGATTACAAAACAAAAAAATGAAACAACATTTTATTTGAAAGCACTTCTGTGCCTTTTACTAATTAAGGGAGTTTCTTTCCTCTTCTTGTGGCCGAAAACATTTTCTTCTAATACTTTAGCACAAAGGCACGGTGCCCCTTTACTCTGAAAGGAGATTAGATAACTAATACGAACAAAAGCACATATGTAGGTGGGTGAACGGTCTCAACAAGTTCAACAAACTTGGATACAACTGAAAATAAACAATAGTTTATTGGGAAAGGGAATGTTGTTGCATTTGTTTCCATTACAAAGTGGAAATGGGAGTAACAATATTAAGTTCTGACAACGGAGTAGTTTATTCAGTTCTTTGGCGATCCATTAAGAAGATTTTAATTGTTGTTGACTATCCTACCCTTCTTTACAGACGGGCCTTACCTTCACACCCGAGTTGTAATTATTATAAGATCAATTCAAATCAAATCAATTACTTATCGATTAAAAACATTTAAAAAGTATTTGACTATTCTATTTTCTATTCTCAGACGGGCCTAACCCTCACACCCGAAATGTTGTTATCGACCTCGGAATCATCGACTCACAGCGCCTCCGAGGTCGCAGGACGACTGCAAGTCGACGTGCGGACTGGTCTCAAATGGACGGAGGCCAAGTACCGCGCCAAGATCATAGGGCACAATGAGCTGCTGCTCGTCGCGGATGACCCCACCTGGAAGAAGTACATTGAGCAGTTCAAGAACCCGCTCATTTTGCTGCTCCTTGGCTCGGCTCTGGTGTCCGTAATCATGAAGCAGTTTGACGACGCAGTGAGCATAACCATCGCCATCCTGATCGTGGTCACTGTGGCCTTCATCCAGGAGTATCGCTCGGAGAAGAGCCTGGAGGAGCTGAAAAAGCTTGTGCCTCCCGAGTGCCACTGCCTGCGCGAGGGCCGTCTAGACACATTCTTGGCACGCGAGCTGGTTCCCGGGGACATCGTGCACCTCAACGTGGGCGACCGTGTGCCAGCTGACGTTCGCCTTTTCGAGGCCGTGGACCTGTCTATCGACGAGAGCAGCTTCACTGGCGAGACAGAACCGGCGCGCAAGATTACCGACGTTCTGCTAAACAACACGAACGTGAAGGACCACAGCAACATGAAGAACATTGCCTTCATGGGCACTCTGGTGCGGTGTGGCAACGGCAAGGGCATCGTTGTCAGCACTGGAGAGCGCAGCGAGTTCGGAGAGGTCTTCAAGATGATGCAGGCTGAGGAGGCTCCAAAGACACCGCTGCAAAAGTCGATGGACATTCTGGGTGCCCAGTTGAGCTTTTACTCATTTTTGATTATTGGCGTCATTATGCTTTTAGGCTGGCTACAGGGCAAGCCCCTCTCGGAGATGTTCAACATTAGCGTCTCACTGGCCGTGGCCGCCATTCCCGAGGGCCTGCCCATCGTGGTAACAGTTACTCTAGCGCTTGGGGTGATGCGGATGGCTAAGCGGAACTCCATCGTGAAAAAGCTCCCCACTGTTGAGACCCTGGGCTGTGTGAACGTAATCTGCTCTGACAAGACGGGCACTTTAACGAAGAACGAGATGACGGCCACGATCATCATCACTTCCGACGGATACATGGCAGATGTAACCGGCGCCGGCTATAACGACCAGGGGGAGATTCACATCCGACACTGCAACAACGTGGAGATGGCCAAAGCCAACATTACGAACCTCCTGGAGATCGGCGCGGTCTGCAACAACGCTTACATCCAAAATGGCACTTTGCTAGGCCAGCCCACCGAGGGAGCTCTTGTGGCTGTGGCCATGAAGAACGGAATGTACGCCACCGCCGAGAACTACGTTCGCATCCAAGAGTACCCCTTCAGCTCGGAGCAGAAGATGATGGCTGTCAAGTGCATTCACAAGTACAACAACAACAAGGAGGAGATTTTCTTCGCCAAGGGGGCGTTAGAGACTCTGCTGCCGCAGTGCACCAAGTACCAGTTCGGCACCCAGACGGTACCACTAACCAAGCAGAACGAGGCCGAGTTCCTAGCCGAGGCGTACGAGATCGGGCGCAAGGGTCTCCGAGTGCTGGCGCTGGCCAAGGGCCGGTCCATGCAGGACCTGATATACTGCGGCCTGGTCGGCATCACTGACCCACCGAGGCCTCTTGTCCGAGAGTCCATCGAAATGCTGATGCAGAGCGGAGTGCGGGTCAAGATGGTGACTGGAGATGCCCAGGAAACGGCCTTGGCCATCGGTGAGTAATCGTGATTTCCTGTTTAAAGTTCTTAGTCCTGTTTTCTCGTTGTTAACCTTAAAGAAGGTTTAAAACTGCCAAATCCCATCCGTTTTCTGAAGTTGAAGTAAAATTTAAGCTTACCATGTGGACGATAAAACGGTGCTAAGAAAGATGGTTTTCTGACAATACTTTTTCTAAAGGAATCCTTAATTATTCCTATTTATCTGACAATCTCAAAATATCCCTTCTTGGGCGCATCTCCACTGCATATCTCAACGATTTTATGGAGTCAAAACTAAGTTACAAAGTTTATTGTCGGGCTATGCTAACAACAAAATTTTTAACCCTACCTGATGCTGAGCCACCCGAAACTATGCAAATAAATTTGTCTAGACCGTATAATTAAAAGTGTCCATGGCTTCCGCAACGGTCCCTTGACAACAATTTATGTTTGACGAGAAGAATCGAGCGTTGTTCAGCGGACGCATGAACTCCGAACTCCGACTGTCCACAAGGACATGTGAGTGAGTAAGGAGTTCTGCTGCCAGCCAATATTATAGTATGCAAACAGAATTAATTACCCATAGGCCAGCGGCCCTAATTTCAAGTTTTCCAGCTCAAGAAGTTTTTTGTCTTTGCATGTGTTTGTCGAGCTCAGAAGTTTTCCACTCAAATTTTAGAGTTCAAGTTACGTAAAATGGTTTTCGGTGTTGAACTGGCGCAAACCTACCTATTAATAAAGCTTTCTGGCTTCGGACACACATACATAAGTATTTAACTCGTCGGGCATGTAAGACCAAAAACAAAGACTTGTGAATCGAGAAGCAGAGATATACACGGCTACCTCGTCAAATTGGATAGATAGCGCGCAACATAGCACAAAAGAGTCCGTCGAAAGTGGAAAGATGAAAAGAGAAGCCAATCTCAGGTAGCTGGCTCCTTTGGGGTTTCATAGTCAAGCAGGGGTTCCCACATCGAATAATCTGAAAAGTAGGAAAGAGGAAAAACAGAAGAGAGCATCGACATCGTTGTCTGCAGTCAGAAATAATTAACTGCGACCCTCATCTCTCCGCATCCTAACAGCTAACAGCTACCCAGCTTCATCTACAACGAACTCATCATTTGAGCAACTGCTGCAGACTGAAATCATCATCTGCATAGACAATACACTGGGCTTGGGCGATTGTCTCCTAGAAAACCAATTTCAATATATTTAGCCCGATCTCTTAAATTTGATTTAATATATTTTAATTCCGAGTTCGCCCTAATACAGATTGTTGTTTAATCATCTTACCACTTCAAACTCCACTGCTTAATTGTTGTCTAAATTTGTTTTCAATTCTATCTGTCTACAAATCATTTTGGAGCTTTCTAATTGGGAGACTTGCCTCATTATTATCCAGCTCCGTACGTAAGGTCAGCGGACAAATTTAATCGGCTTATGCATGCATTGGCATAATAAAGGGAGCCCATTCTTTAATTAAATTTTTTACGATTTAAAATGGGCTGGCTTGAAAATTTGCATATATCAAATTTCTCTCTGTTCAGTCGCGTTGTGTCTTGAAACTGCTTTTTGAAGCCGGTAGACACTTTTATTTTAAAAGTTTTGAAACGATTTTCTTGACCAAATTAATTTTAATTTGTAATCCCTTGCAGAAGGTATTTTATTGTCAGACGTTATATATTAGTATTAGTATATATTATTGCTCAGCAGATAAAAGAAACATTCCCAAAAGTCTTCGTTATATTGGAGCAGTATACAATTCGAAACGGGACGAATTAAAAAAAAAGATTGCCATTTTATAAAAATCAAAATCAGTTATAAAAAAATGATGTAAAGATCAATTTAAAGTTTTTCCTTGATAAAACAATTTTTATACCCTTGCAGAGGGTATTATAATTTTGGTCAAAAGTGTGCAACGCAGTGAAGGAGACATCTCCGACCCTATAAAGTATATATATTCTTGATCAGGATCACCTCCTGAGTTGATATAGCCATGTCCGTCTGTCCGTCTGTCCGTCTGTCCGTCTGTCTGTCCGTCTGTCTGTCCGTCTGTCTGTTTCTACGCGAACTAGTCTCTCAGTTTTAAAGATATCGAATTGAAACTTTGCACACACCCTTCTTTCCTTTGCACGCAGTATATAAGTCGGAACGGCCGGGATCGGCCGACTATATCCTATAGCTGCCATATAACTGAACGATCGGAAATGCCATAACTTTGGTGTTTGTTAAGTTAGGAAGTTGGGATTTTCTATGGGTTTTGTATTTGGCTAATCAATCCGACATGCCGAGTTTCATAAGGATCGGCCGACTATATCCTATAGCTTCCATATAACTGATTGATCGGAAATGCCATAACTTTGGTGTTTGTAAAGTTAGAATGTTGGGATTTTCTATGGGTTTTATATTTGGCTAATCAATCCGAAATGCCGAATTTCATAAGGATCGGCCGACTATATCCTATAGCTGCCATATAACTGATTGATCGGAAATGCCATAACTTTGGTGTTTGTAAAGTTAGGAAGTTGGCATTTTCTATGGGTGTTATATTTGGCCACCCAACCCGACCTACCAAATTTCATAAGGATCGGCCGACTATATCCTATAGCTGCCATATAACTGAACGATTGGAAATGTCATAACTTAGGTGTTTTTTAAAGTTAGGAAGTTGGGATTTTTTCTGAGTATTAAGAATGCATCATATGAATAATTTTGGAGAATATAATTTACAGAGTATTCTGCAAGGGTATATCAACTTGGCTCCGCCCAATGTTACTTTCCTTTCTTGTTTTTAGTAATTTAAACAAATTCAATGTAAACAAGAAACTTGGGCGAAGTATGCATATACTACCTTTAGAATATTCTGTAAATTATATTCTCCAAAATTATTCATATGATGCATTCTTAATACTCATAAAAAGTCCCAACTTCCTAACTTTAAAAACACCAAAGTTATGACATTTTCAATCGTTCAGTTATATGGCAGCTATAAGATATAGTCGGCCGATTCTTATGAAATTTGGTAGGTCGGATTGATTAGTCAAAAATAAAATTCATAGAAAATCCCAACTTCCTAACTTTAAAAACACCAAAGTTATGGCTTTTCCGATCGTTCAGTTATATGACAGCTATATCATATATTTGCCCGATCCGGCTCGTTCCGACCTATATACTACCTGCAATAGAAATACAACTTTTAGGAAAGTTTCAAGCAGATAGCTTTAAAACTGAGGGACTAGTTTGCGTAGAAACGGACGGACGGACGGACGGACAGACGGGCAAGGCTAGACCGAATATATATACTTTATAGGGTCGGAAATGTCTCCTTCACTGCGTTGCAAACTTTTGACTGAAATTATAATATCCTCTGCAAGGGTATAATAAATTTGGCTATCTCACTTGTTTTTATGTAACACAATTGACTACAAAGCATTAGCGAATTCCCCATGTAAAGCCTTAAATATTTGGAGAAAAATTTAATTACTGACGGCTAATTTAGTTTAAGCTATTAGCTAATTAAAATTTTACGATCACGTCTTTATCATTATTGTAGGACACAAAGAATTAAAATTAAAAAAAACTTGTTAAAAATGTAAAAAAAAATTATGGTATACAATGGTATTTGTTCGGCATGTTTGAGAGTTTTACACACTTATTACTTTTCTTCCAAACAATATATTTTGCATGTATGTATATACTACCTTTATGACCTCAACTACAATATTGCTGAAAAGAAATTGTAAATTTCCTTTAAAAATATAGCCGCATGTTACTTTAAACTAGTTTCGATAAGTACTTTTAGAATTAGATGAAATAAATACGATTACTGTTTTAGTGTACTCAAAAAAACAATTTCTTACTACGTTTCCGCAAGAATTTTTCATCAGTTGAGAGTTTGCTTAACGTAACGACGTTAACAGCTGACATTGTTTTGAAATATTTTTTTCGAATCCTAACATCTGGATTTTTTAAATTGAAATTAACACTCTGATATTTTCCCGTTCTCTTTTCTGTTGCTTAGCCAACGTATACAGAGGTAAATCACTTAAAATTTCCCCCGGCGTGACACACTTCCAATTAGAAAGGTGCATTCTCAGAATGCACTCTGGAATCGGCACAGTAATCCTGTATGTTGGATGCTTGTGAATCGCTTCAGGAAATAATTATGCCCATTGCCATGAGTCGAGGCAAGCCAAGAGGAGAAGAAAGTCAGCAATCATTTGAAGGAAATCGTGTCGTGCATAAACACACTTTACAAACTAAGGGGACAGGGCTCATCCAGCTTCCAGTACCGATACTTAACAGTACAAATGCAAATGGCACTTTCAATTACCAAATGAGACCTTGCTTTTTTTTTGTTTTGTGTTTTGTTTTTAAACACAGTGCACAATTTTTCTTTGGAGTTGTTCTATGCAGTAGTTTTATGCACTTGACATTTTCATACATTTTTCAACACCGCCTTTAACTTCTGCTTTCGGGTGCACCAAGACTCTTCCCATTCCGCTTAAAAATGTTCAGTTTCTTTCCTCTTCGCTCAACTTTTTTCTAAATGTCAGGAACGTCTTATCAGGCCGCAAACAAAGTTTTCCAGGAAATATTATTTTGTGTGCCAAAGAGTAATTATTCCCGTTTCTTTTAGATTCTAATTTTATTCGTTGAAAAGTAGGAAGCGTTTCCGACCCTATAAAGGTTGTATGTTGTTAATCAATAATATCAGCCGAGTTTTTTCCTGCAACAGGAACAATTTTAAAAATCCTACAACCAAAAGTTTCCCCTTCAGTGTTTAAAAGAACCTGATTTAAAAATCTGCTGCAATACTAACTTAATAAGCTTAATCCAGTTTGAAATCAAACTTACGTTTTTATACCCATGCAGAGGGTATTATAATTTCAGTCAAAAGTTTGCAACGCTGTGAAGGAGACATTTGCGACCATATAAAGTATATATATTCTTGATCAGCATTACCAGGAGATTCGATGTAGCCATGCCCTTCTGTCCGTCCATCCGTTTCTCCGCAACATAGTCCCTCAGTTGTAAAGCTATATGCTTGAAACTTTCCCAAAAGTTGTCTTTCTATAGCAGGTAGTATTAGAACAATCGAAAAAGAATATTAAAAAATTATAACTTTATTGTTTTTAATTTTTTTATTTTTTTCCTTGAAATTTGGTAATATTTAAATATTATGGAATTACGGTTTTAATTAAATTAAAATCGGACAACAATATCATATAGCTACGATAGAAACGATGGCAAAATACAGAGCCAAATCGACATAGCTTCATTGTAGGCGGAGAAATCGAAATGTAGTCGATTTGTAATAACTGCAAGGGTATATAAACTTCGGCTTACCGAAGTTTGCTTCCTTTCTTGTATTTTTTTTACCTTTTAAATAAAACATATTTGCCTTAAACTTTTTTATCGAGATTTAAAACAATTTCTTTAAGTACATCAAAGATTTTTTTTTAAGAAACAACAAAAATATTAGGCGTTAAAGACAAAGTGTTATTATATCTGATCAACTCGGCAAGCATTAATCTTTTCTATGATTTCATGTGACCATCTCTCTTTTGCGGACTAATCATGGTAAACAAATATCTCTGTCTTCCCGCTTTTTCTCGAATACCTTTAACACTTTTAAAAGAGGTAAATTGAATATAGTCACATATTTTCTTATACAAATGCTACATCTAGCATATGTTTATCTGATAGTGACCGAAGTCTTATTAACCAAAAACAAACAGCGTAATATTTAAAAGTTATCGAAGTTTTTAGAGGATTATTTCTATCCGGCATTAATTCGTTTAAAGGTAAACGGTAAATGAGCAGGATATGGGAGGTTTTCTTAATGATAATAAACGAAACTGGTGACGAGTACAAACCCGTTTTATTGTTTGAAATCAAAAATGTCAACTGAACAAAAATTTTAAAGAAAAACTATCCGAACGAAACTGAGAATGAGTCAAAAAGTTATTTGGATGTTCAAACCCTGCTCTTGTTATATCTATGCAGGGCTCTTATGTATTATACACGCTTACAAGTGCATACATGAAATAACTTTGCTTATAAAATAATAACTGTAAAAGAATTTCTCAATGAACAGTTAATGCAATAAGGGCAATAAAATTGTTATTCTAATGACTGCAGGGTTTTAGTTAATTTAACAAGAAGATTTGTTCATAATGTTGTCTAAGTTTGCATCATGGAATAAACGAAATACATGACATGGTACAGTAGCAAAATTATCTGAGTACTGTTGTTTGACGCAGGACTCAACTCTCTAGCTTTAATAGTTCCTGACGATTCGCTGCTTATCCAAAAAGGCAGGCAGAAATGGCTAGAAAGGCTGGGCATTTAATGCCGATTATGTATATTTTTATAAACTTTATCCTGTTACATTCTTTTGCACGATTACATTATCAACTTTTTACTCTGCGAGTAACATCGACCTCAAAGTTTCTGGAGATGCGCTTCGTCAAGTCTAAGATGTATTCCGTAACTTGGCCGAGATAGTGGGCACATATTGTAGTTGGCGCTGGTTGAAATTGGCACCAAGCCACCGCCGTCTGCATGCTGCCGGCTGCTCGATGTCTTGTGTATTAAACCAGGAGACCGAGCACAGACCTGGAAGACAACAGCGAATTAAAACATTCCCTAGGAGACCCCAATAGAAAGAAAATGGTGGCCAGAAAGGGACTCTGGAGCTGGCCACCTCTGTAATTTCCTATAGCTGTCTGATGTCGGGCTGCATTTAATTGTCTGGGAGCCAAGGGAGTAGGGATTGAAGCCACTGAATGCGTTTTAATTACGTCTTTCTTTTGCTCATTTCGCCGCGCCTTTTTCCATTGCGGCGCACTGTTGCAGGTTGTTATTATTTACTTCAGTGCACTCCGGCTAAAATTTTGTACGAACAGGTCGAGTACTGGGATAGGAAAAGCGATGTGCTCGGTACTCGGAACTCGACAGGCGCCATAATGAAAAATGGCGACGAGACTTTTCGCTAAAGTTCCCTATAGCTGTTGTTCCTGTCTTTCTCAGCTGCTGCCACCCATTGTGCGCACTTCATAAATGCGCTAGAGTGGAAAAAGAAAGGCGGCAGCAAATGGTATCGGAAGGTGGGCTAAGGACCGCATCTTTCTTTCTGAAGTTTTTATACCTGTTATCGTGTGTAAAAGGGTATATGGTATTCTTTGTAAATGGTGTAACAGGCAGAAAGACGCGTTTCCGGCTCTCTAAAGTATTCTTTTATTTTAAATATTCTTTATTAGGATCGATAGCCGCGTCTATCGAGTCGTCGGAACGTCGAGATTTTGAACATTATGGCACTGTAAAGCCCACAAATCGAAAATTTCGTAAAAACATGGTCGACAAGCTGGTATATGGTGGGTGAAAAACAAATAACACACCAAAGACTTTTCAAATCCAATATTTTAGAAGTTATTAGTAGTTTAAATGTTAATTGTGACGTCACTACATACTTAAGTTCATATATTTAAGGAAGCGAGAAAACTGGTGTTGACAATGCTGTTCGGCAGATGTTAAAATGCGCCATCAGGGGGCATATTTATTTTGAACTTGGATGAATTTTGAATTACATAGATGAGTAACGGGTATCTTATAGTCGAGACTATAGCGTTTCTACTTGTTTTTAACTTCAATGCTTGTGCTTCAATTGAATTTTCAAGGAACGAACAACTCTTTGCCAGCCCTCCCAACAAATTAACAATTGTTTTTGCATTTTCTTCGGGGATTAAGATCCAAGTCGACGGCTTCAAGCTGTGGCGGCACACACTCGCGTCCTGGCGTGGCTCTCAACCACTTGCCAGGCAGCTCCATTCGCCTGTTGCTTGGTGTAATTCAGCGTCAATTGCTTGGAAAATGCAGTGAAAGACGATTTACTGCCTTGGCGCCGCTGCCAGGGGAGGACGGATTACAAGGTATTGGGAGTGGACCCAAGGACGAAAAGAGTTCTTTGGTTACCAGCCCTCCCATTATCCCCAATCCCTTTGAATTTGTTTTTATTCAATACTGCTAGGCCATTTGTATGGTTTTTCCAATTTCTTACAACATTTTCTCCTCGTCCTTCCAGCGAATCTCATCGGCATTGATACAATCCACCACCAGACGCTATCCGGTCAGGAAATCGATCAAATGAACGAGCACCAACTGGACAAGGTGGCTAACAACGTGGGCGTCTTCTACCGCGTTTCGCCACGCCACAAGCTGGAGATAGTCAAGTCCTTGCAGCGCACAGGGAACATAGTCGGCATGACTGGCGACGGGGTCAACGACGGAGTGGCTCTTAAGAAGGCGGACATCGGCATTGCCATGGGCAAAAACGGAACAGATGTGTGCAAGGAGGCTGCAGACATGATCCTGGTTAACGACGATTTTCACACTATCATGTAAGTTGATTCAGTGGCCAGTTAATAGCCAATTTCTAATTTACTTTCTTTGTTTGCAGCGCTGCCATCGAGGAAGGCAAAGGCATATTCTACAACATCCGGAACTTTGTGCGGTTCCAGCTCAGTACTTCAATAGCCGCGCTGGCCCTTATTGCCCTAGCCACTCTGATGGACATTGCCAACCCGCTGAACGCCATGCAGATTCTATGGATCAACATCATAATGGATGGGCCGCCCGCACAATCCCTGGGCGTGGAGCCCGTGGACCACGACGTGCTTAAGCAGAAACCGCGCAACGTTAAGCAGCCTATGATCACAAAGTCTGTGGTGGTAAATGTCCTGCTCAGTGCCAGCATAATAGTGTTGGGCACGCTGTGGGTATTCCAGCGCGAGATGGCCGACGGGACGCTGGGGAAGACCAAGAGGGACACGACCATGACCTTTACTTGCTTCGTATTCTTTGACATGTTCAATGCGCTGTCTTGCCGATCGCAGACGAAAAGCGTATTCACCATTGGACTTACAACCAACCGCATGTTTCTGCTGGCTGTCGCCTTTTCAATTATTGGTCAAATGCTGGTCGTATACTTTCCGCCGCTGCAGATGGTTTTTCAGACGGAAGCCCTTACGCCATACGACATATTCTTTCTGGTTTCCCTTACCTCCTCAGTGCTGGTGGTCTCCGAGATAAAGAAATGGTTCGAGCGCACCATGGAGCGCAAGGTGTACAGCACCCGCTCCGAGCTGGACTTTGTATGACAAAACGCAAGCGCTAGAGAAGACTTGCACCCCAAAGCCGAGTAAATTAAAAACTTTAACAAAAAAAAACCCACAAAAAAAGCAAAAACTATGCCAAAACAAGCGAGGAGAGCTGCAAAAGCAGCCCAAGGGAAGCAAGAGCCGATAAAGGAGCAAGGCAGCAGCGATGTGTGTGTTTACTTTTACATTTGACTCGACAAATTATCAAAAACTTAATCGACAATGTGGGGTTTCTACCAGATTGGGCCTAGCAGGGATTTTCTTAGATTTGACGAAAGCTTCCAGGTTGGTTTTATGCTCTCTGTAATTTATGCGTTTTATTTTAATGTATTGTGTTTATAATGTAAGTAGAAAATTTGTGTGTAGAACTTTTCTTTTATTTTTCGCTTTTTAAACATTCTTTCAGATGCTCTGAAAAAGTTTTCCAAAACTATTGATATCTCAGCGTAAAGCGCACCATTTATATTTTAAAATCTCCAATTGGCTGCAATAGCTAATTTTTCATGTACTTTCTATTTCCATTTTATATTTAAGTGCTGCTGTAGTTTTAATGCTCATCACGCAAATTAAGTCAATTCAAAGTGTTTAATAATCTATAAAATTGTCGGCAAAAACAGTTTAATGTGATATTATTTTAAGCACATAAACCAGGTCATCCCACAATAAGGCGAAATGCAAATTTTGATTTTATGTTGATTTGCACATCCGCTTGTGGCGCCAAATATTTTATTTTTTAAAAATAAAACTTAAACTGTAAAAAAATTTTAAACCAACTAGTTGCAAATTTATTTTCTGATTATTTTAGATCTTACCTTTTTTCCCCGCAGCGAACCAGCCAGATTGTAAATCAAGTGATCGTTTTCGTGAATGCGATTAGGTTCAACAGGCAAATGCAGATACAACCAGGTCTTAGCAAACATAAATGAAAATAAAATGGACAAGAGTCAATGATGACATGGCAAGGACAAGGCAAAGCAAGGCGTAGTGAAATAAAACACGGTTTTTTTTTGGTGATATTGATAAATAATTTATTCGGTATTTGAAAAGCAAGTAACAAATTTGTGTAAAATTTACGCAAATCGGAACTCTAGCGCGTTAGCTAAAATATGAATTTTGAAAAAATGACCTCCATAAAGACATCAAATGGAAAGTGAAGATCGGCACAAGATTTTCAAAAACTTAAATAATTTAGTTTTATGCGTAGTTTTATATTCAAAACAATTTCGATGCGTTGATAGTTTGTCGTTTTGCCTAGGACTTACTATCTATAACAGAATAATGCACCAAACCAAATACAAAACTTCACAAGACAAACATCACCAGATTTATCGAATGAACTGCAATTTATTAAATTACGCTCCTATGTTTAAAGCAAACGGTATTCTTAAAATAATTCCAAACGGATTCACAAAACTTTATTTTCTGGCTTAGATTAAAGACATATGCTATCAATATAGGAAAGAAATCAAGAAATCAAATCATGTTAGTTCTTTACTTAAAGCAATTAGATTCAACGATAAAAATCAAAAATATCCATCTTAATAGTCAATTAATAATTTTTTTAAAAATTAAAAGAAATATTAAATTCAATAGAATACCAAGAGTTGTCTCAGCTATATTATTGAACTCTCTAAATATCATTGTCATTCGATTCATATCATAACAACTCAGAAGTTTTATACCCATTAAACGATTTTACCAATGCACTGGGAAGCATATCACATTTTCGATGGCTTGTTTCCGATCACCAAAACTACTGTACTGGGGTGACAAAGTCTTGTTGGAATCGTGTTTGTACGTTTCAACTGAATTATTTGTCACCCCCGATAAAGACATTCATGTATTTAACAATTTGGCTGAATGCAATTTTTGTTCGCGCTGCTAATGGCAATTAATGGACCAATTAAGAAATTGTTTATTTAATCACACATCAGTCTAAGCTCGACAGAGACTCATTCTCATATATCAAGGCAAAAAAAAAAAAAGAAAAATCTTAAAACAAAAATAAAAAAACGAAAAATATATATTAAAAATAAAGCTCGTTCAACGGAGCAAGCAATCAAAGGCTCATTATATATTACCCCACGCATCAAGGCATACTAAAAGTACACAACACAAAATATACACAGACTAACACCCACACACATTCACTGACATCTCATCCACAATGGTAACAATAATTAGAAAATTAAGCGTATTTATTAAAACAAACAAAAAAATTAATGTCTGAAGGAATAAATAAATTGCACCAAATAATATGAATATATTAATCAAAACAGGTATAAATTAATTTATTGAATTTAAACTAAACTATTAAAAGTTTTGCAAAGTAAAGATCCAAATCGGTCTTTGAATTACAATAATTTAAATGAATGATGATATTAAAAAAACTCTTACCCACGGAAATATTTTTTAAACGTCTATGAAAATTATGTGAGCCCCTTATATTTGTAAGTGTAAATGTCTAACAATGCTGGCTAAGCTCCAAAAAATATGGAGCATAATTCAACAAATTAAAAATTATTGTTTCTACAGAGTTCGGTTAAACGAAATGTACAAGCTGATGGCAAACTTACAAATCTTTAAATATTCCTTTCATAACCGTAACCTAAAAAAATTAACTATAACTATCTGTGCTATTAAATGTAAGCTTTAACAATATATGTATCTAGATAAATACCAAGCATTACGAAAAAATACACACATTTTTCGGAAATATTTGGTACTTTCCCCTCAGCAGTAGAACTAATTTAAATAAAACTTTCATCGTTGTGTTTCATTGAAGCCATCTCTTAACAATTACAATGTCAACGTGAAAAAATATAATTCGTTAATCGAACAATATTGGGGCAAAATCTTAAATATTAAATTAATTATGCAATGGTAACAATACTAATATATTTAATATTTATCTGCGGAATATTGCGAAACAAATATTTACCAAATATAATAAAGTTTATGTAGTACCTACTTTTTAAATATCTTTAATTTATTTGAACAGAGTCTAGCGACTGGGACCTTAATTTTGGAATGATTTAAGCTCCTGCCAATTTGATGTTGACCATATATAAATTATTAAATTAATGATGTTCACATATATTTATTTATTTATTATTTTCTTTATTCTTAAGGCATTGATCACCATCACCAGCCGAATTAATATGATCATTAGGGTGGTGCAATAAAAGAAAATGATCTTATTAATTTTGGTAGGTTTAGGAATGCAAATAATGTAATTTTAAGCATGTCATCTTGTTATCGAATGGTTAATCGACCAAAAAAAGGCATATTTTCATGAATTTTTTCACGCGATACGGTTAATGTCAGATCAATTATTTTATAAGCATATTAAGGGGGTATATACCTTTTTTTTCGAAAAAAATAGGAAAGCTTGCATTTTTTTTATGTATGTAACTATTGTTTTTATTAAATGAATGATTATATAATATTTTCTGAAAGTTTTGATTGTTGACAAAGTTTATGCAAAAAATTTTGAAAAAATATTTAATAGTTTTTAAGGTGTGGCTGTTTCCCTTAAACGCCTTTTTTTTAAAGAGCCTTGTGGTGATATTTCCCCAGGACGTACGGGTCAACTGATACTGGACGCTAAAATTTTTACAAAACTATCTTTTTCGTCGAAATAAAAATTTTTACATGGAAAAACGATCGTTCAACTAATAATAAAATTCATTACGAACATTTAAAAAAAAATTTGAAGAAAATCGGTTCAGTAGTTTTTCGCCAATCCATATCACCGCAAAGTCATTTTTCAAAAAACACCATTTCGAGATATTCGCGTTTAAAGTTTCAAGTTTGGGTTTGTGCGGAGACGAGGCGCGCGGCTAGGAGCGCTGTAACTTTTTTTTGACTGCTCAAATCTCTATGAAAATTTGGGGAAATGTTCTCAAAAAGTTGTTCTTTAAGATAAAGCAAAAAAAAAAATTTCGATTTTTTGAAAATAAAAAGGTATATACCCCGTTAAAGTACAACATTTAAACTACGTTTTCACAAATTTAAATAAAAACGAGGACGAAAGCTAACTTCGGCAAGCCGAAGTTTTAATACCCTTGCAGACTTTGCCGAAATTGCTAAAATTAAAAAAGTAGCAAAAGAAATAAGGTATACATAAATAAACTAGATTTTTATAGTTTCAAGTCAATAGCTTTAATACTGCAAAAATGTCATATAACAAGAAAGGAAAGCTAACTTCGGGCGGAGCCGAAGTTGATATACCCTTGCAGAATATTATGTACATTATATTCTCCAAAATTATTCATATGATGCATTCTTAATACTCATAAAAAGTCCCAACTTCCTAACTTTAAAAACACCAAAGTTATGGCATTTCCAATCGTTCAGTTGTATGGCAGCTATAGGATATAGTCGGCCGATCCTAATGAAATTTGATAGGTCGGATTGATTGTCCAAAAATAAAAACCATAGAAAATCCCAACTTCCTAACTTAACAAACACCAAAGTTATGGCATTTCCAAAATTTATAAACCCAGCTCCTAATAAAGTGGCATTTCCGATCAATCAGTTATATGGCAGCTATAGGATATAGTCGGCCGATCCCAGCCGTTCCGACATTTATACTGCGTGCAAAGGAAAGAAGGGTGTGTGCAAATTTTCAGTTCGATATCTTTAAAACTGAGAGACTAGTTTGCGTAGAAACAGACAGACGGACAGACGGACAGATAGACGGACAGACGGACATGGCTATATCAACTCAGAAGGTGATCCTGATCAAGAATATATATACTTTATAGGGTCGGAAATGTCTCCTTCACTTCGTTGCACACTTTTGACCAAAATTTTAATACCCTCTGCAAGGGTATAAAAATAGAAAAAAAGGGATATTTTCGCTGCCTTTAACAATTTTTCCTACGGAAGCCAGAAGATATAGACGTCCGATCGGCAAGCGTTTTTTCCCTGATCAAGATATGCTTAAATAAATAAGACTTGGAAAAATTTATGTCAATAGCTTACACACTGCGCAAAATATTCTGAAAAACATCAAATTTGAACCGATTTCAAACTATTTTTCCTATGGGAGCTATAGGATATAGACGTCCGATCGGCACGCGCTTTAAACCTAATCAAGGTATGTATAAAAAATACGATTTGGAAAGATTCATGTCAATAGCTTATATACTGCGCGAAATATCCAAAAAATCATTAAATTTTAACCGATTTCACCCTAATGTTCCTATGGGAGCTAAAGGATATAGACGTCCGATCGCCACGCGCTTTTACCCTGATCAAGGTATGCATAAAAAAATAAGATTTGGAAAGACTTTTGTCAATAGCTTTTATACTGCGCGAAATATCTTCCATTCTTGCAAGTTATTTCCGATTGTTCCTATGGGAGCTATAGGATATAGACATCCGATCGGTGCGGTTTTCAAACTTGATCTGCGTACACATGTTTTAGGATGATTGTGAAAGTTTTAGATCGCTAACTTTTAAACTGAGCTCGCAAACGGTATTGAAACAGACGGACAGACGGACGGACGGACAGACGGACGGACAGACGGACATGGCTATATCGACTCCCTTATTGATCCTGATCAAGAATATATATACTTTATAGGTCGGAAATGTCTCCTTCACTGCGTTACAAACTTCTAACCAAAATTATAATACCCTCTGCAAGGGTATAACAAGAAAGAAAAGCTAACTTCGGGCGTAGCCGAAGTTGATATACCCTTGCAGAATATTCTGTAAATTTTATTCTCCAAAACTATTCATATGATGCGTTCTTAATACTCATAAAAAATCCCAACTTCTTAACTTAACAAACACCAAAGTTATGGCATTTCCAATCGTTCAGTTATATGGCAGCGATACGATATAGTCGGCCGACCCTTATGAAATTTGGTTGGTCGGATTGATTGGCCAAAAATAAATTCCATAGAAAATCTAAAAATAAAATAATTTCCAACTAATTTACAAACACCAATCTTATGGCATTTCCGATCAATCAGTTATATGGCGGCTATAGGATATAGTCGCCGATCCAAATGTTAAATATATACTTAAATTGTACGCCCGATCCGGCTCGTCCCGACTTATATACTACCTGCAACAGGAAGACAAGAAACTTTTGAGAAAGTTTCAAGCAGACAGCTTTAAAACTGAGGGACTAGTTTTCGTAGAAACGGACGGACGGACATACGGACATGGCTAGATCCACTCTTCTAGTGATGCTGATCAAGAATATATATACTTTATAGGGTCGGAAATGTCTCCTTCACTGGGTTGCAAACTTTTGACTGAAATTATAATATCCTCTGCAAGGGTATCAAAATAATAAATGAGCCGTTCGCAGCAAAGCTCCGTAGGCGCCTCCAAGAAAAAAGGTTTTGCGGTGAACAGCATAACTTGTTACTGGATCATCAGAAAAAACCAAAAAAAAATTGTTTATTAGTTAATATGTTTCTAGATTTAACTATGTAGAGTTTTTTTAAATTTAATTTTTGGATTTTTGGTAACACTTTAAAGTCAAAAACCTGATTTTAGCCTAAAAATTCGATATATTTGTTATTATAAAATAAAAAATAATCAGTAAAAAAACTTGACGTCAGTACCTACGGATTTAGGTACAGAAATTGTATGCAAAATTTCAAAACGAAATTTCAAAACGATTAGATTAGGACACCGAATAAATCGCATACAAAACGAACTAACTCATATACGTCCAACTGCCCATAACTTCGGAAGTTTTACTCGGATGAATCTAAAATGTTAACGCAATATTCTTAAAATGTTGTGCATTCAGAAAAAAAATTTAAAAAATGAGGAATATTCTTAAGTAGTTAAACTTTGAAATTAAATTTATTATACCCTTGCAGAGGGTATTATAATTTTGGTCAAAAGTGTGCAACGCAGTGAAGGAGACATCTCCGACCCTATAAAGTATATATATTCTTGATCAGGATCACCTCCTGAGTTGATATAGCCATGTCCGTCTGTCCGTCTGTCCGTCTGTCTGTTTCTACGCAAACTAGTCTCTCAGTTTTAAAGCTATCGGATTGAAACTTTGCACACACCCTTCTTTCCTTTGCACGCAGTATATAAGTCGGAACGGCCGGGATCGGCCGACTATATCCTATAGCTGCCATTTAACTGATTGATCGGAAATGCCATAACTTTCGTGTTTGTAAAGTTAGGAAGTTGGGATTTTCTATGGGTTTTATATTTGGCCAATCAATCCGACCTACCAAATTTCATAAGGATCGGCCGACTATATCCTATAGCTGCCATATAACTGATTGATCGGAAATGCCATAACTTTGGTGTTTGTAAAGTTAGAAAGTTGGGATTTTCTATGGGTTTTATATTTGGCCAATCAATCCGACCTACCAAATTTCATAAGGATCGGCCGACTATATCCTATAGCTGCCATATAACTGATTGATCGGAAATGCCATAACTTTGGTGTTTGTAAAGTTAGAAAGTTGGGATTTTCTATGGGTTTTATATTTGGCCAATCAATCCGACCCACCAAATTTCATAAGGATCGGCCGACTATATCCTATAGCTGCCATATAACTGATTGATCGGAAATGCCATAACTTTGGTGTTTGTAAAGTTAGGAAGTTGGGATTTTCTATGGATTTTATTTTTGGCCAATCAATCCGACCTATCAAATTTCATAAGGATCGGCCGACTATATCCTATAGCTGCCATATAACTGAACGATTGGAAATGCCATAACTTTGTTGTTGTTAAAGTTAGGAAGTTCGGATTTTTTATGAGTATTAAGAATGCATCATATGAATAATTTTGGAGAATAT